CACTGTTTAATCAATACACAGAGAGAGATTTTATTGTTGTTGTTTAGTCATTTAGTCGTGTCCGACTCTTCGTGACCCAACAGCAATGTTTTAAGAATAGAATCAAGGTTGCTTGTTACTGAAAAAAGAAAAAAATAGTTATTATATTAAAATCAAATAAAACATACTAGGATAAGAACCAGTTCTGCCACAACTATGTTTACAAGGACTATAATTATTTGTAAGAAGTAACTTCTAAGGTCTGAGGTTGAAAGACAGTAGCAGGGATAGTGAATCTTTGCAGGTATCCTATTAGTGATTTAGCATGTTCTGTGTCAAGATGTTAATTTTTTAATGTAAATAGTGTTAAAACAATTAAAGCTAATATAGAAAAAGTAGCCCTGAAAATATAAGTGTTTTCAAAGTTGAGGACTGAAGTATAGTTTACTGTAGATGTTGCTAAATAATTAGCTACCTCTCTAGCCGAGAAAGGGCACTGCAGCATAACAATCCTGACAGCTGAACGTATTTATTTTGCAATGTGTAAATATGGAGGTGGTTTTGCAGAACCTATCGCTTGCAACCCTTGTACTTACAATACCCTGGTGTTATAGTATTTTGTAGTTCCAATACCTTAGTGTTACAGTATTTTGGTTTACAGCACCTTGGGTGTGTCAGAGCTTTAGTCCTCCATGCTTTGTAAAATTTTAGTCAAAACAATGATGTTATCATAGTGTCAGCTTGCCAGATACTGAGTCACAAGCCTTAGGAGATACCAAGCCTGCAGGGACAATGTAATTTCCCAATATATATTTTTTTTCGTGGTGTTCCAGGCCCCTGGGTCTCTAAGTCTCTGAAGAAAGGATTGTTTAGGGAAAGGAAAACAACTGAAACAACTATAAATACAGGCAGGACACACACACATACACAAGAATTTATCAATCAACATTGGTACCAATAATGCTTTATGCTGTGCATTACACAGCAACAACAATCATATGGCAGAGCAGCAGCAGACTTCATTTCCAGAAGTGAACAATACAGTCAACATGAATTTTCCTTTGTAGATTCAAATTGGTTTGGTTGGGTCAGCAATTAGAATATTTAAATTATAGAATATAATTAATATATTATTTATTAGAATATAATAAATATTATATTCTAATATTTATAATATTCAAATGTTATAATATGCTTAGAGGCTAAGAGAGTCATTGTCTTTAATATTTTTTTATTTTTAAGAACTTTCCTGTTTTAAAGATATATTCTCTGCCTTTTGCTTTTTTATATTGTTATGAGATAGATAGATAGATAGATAGATAGATAGATAGATAGATAGATAGATAGATAGATAGATAGATAGATAGATAGATAGATATTTGCATTTTTAGAATTTAACTAAAACATTATTTTTGTATGCTATTGTATTTTTATACCACTGTATTTTGAATTGAATTCTAACTTAAGTATTTCCCTGCAACTTAAGTTTAATTTTCATATATTTTTAAGCATTTGTGCCTGCAGTTTTCCATAAAACTTTTGGATGTTTTCAAACTTTGAAGTATTTTTGTACTTAGGAAACATATAAGTAATGTAGAGAAATAAATCTTGTGGAATTAGAGAAGTTGATATTGCCAGGAAATACTGCAACAATGAAGAAACTTAAACCTTGATACTCCGTCAATTCTGATACAACTGGAAATGGTTGTTTGGTTTCACTCTGGAAGTAACCCTTTCTGGAATAAATGCCAGCCGTGACAAACACAAGGTTCTGATTTTTCTCTAGAGGTCTATAAAGTTCTGTAGGGCTAATGGGGAGATTCTGTTCAGGAGTCAGAATCCCTGACCTGACATCTGCAATACTAATTAAACAGATACATTTCATTCAGGCTGCCATTTCTTGCCTACAGATTTCTTTTTGCCTTTCATTTAGGGGCAGTAGAGAAAAATTATACATTCAACTACTCTTATAATCTGAAAAGGAGACTGCCATTGTTGCAAAGTGAGCCATTTCTTTCTGGCTGAACTGAGGAATGAACAGACTGTATACAGTATGCTTATCTGACATTGCCTGAAAGGCACAGCTTCCATTTTGGTTTTGGAAAAACATGTATCGAGTTTTCCCTTTTCAAACACTCCTATGGAAATACCTCAAGGGTATTGTATTTGAAAGAGTCAAAGAGCAGATAAAAGATTTTCAAAATTTATTATATTCATATTTATTATAGTCAATGAACACAAAGTTAATTTCAACATTAATATATCTTTTTTTATTGCAAAACCCAACAGTGCCCAAAATCTTATTGTTTAGTTATGCTGAGAGAAGGGCAATAGCATAACTTGCAGTGGAAAACTGCCATTAATTAAAGAGTCCCCATTAGGACTCCTGGTCACACATTGACCAGCATGCAGTTGCCCTTCTAGGATTTGTGACAGGGAACAGCCCAATATAACTGCACAATATCATACAATACATTGCCAGCAGGAAAAAGGATGCTAGACTTTACATAGCAAAGGGCAGCCTAAATGTTGACAACATCCATTGTAGCAGTCAAGATGGTCTATAACAGGGGTCCCCAATAGCCGATCCATGGCCTGGTGCCGGTCTATGGGCTTCCCAGGACTGGGCTGCGGAGACAGATCTCCGCCCCCCCTGCACAGTGGGCATGTCATGCTCGCAGGTAGGCATGCCATGCTTGCGTGCATGCGTGTGAGCCTGACACACCCCTCCGTGAGCATGACATGCCCACCATGAGTGCAGGGGTGCCCCCGTGCATGGAGCCTAGCAGCAGCACTGCACGCAAAAGGAAGCCGAGTTTCAGCCGCATCCTCCTTGCAGCCCCGGCCTGACCAGCTCCCCTCAGCCACCTCCACCTCCCTGCCAGCCTCCTGCTACTGCCCCCCTCCCGGCGCGTGCTGTTGTTGCTCCTTCACTTGCGCCTAGGCGGGCTCTGCGAGAAGGTTCCCCTTTCTTTCCTGCCTCCTTTTGCTGTGGTGGTGGTAGTGGCAGCGGCTGCCGCCTCTTCTCCCTCCCTCTCCCTCTTTCTCTGGCAGGTGCCTGGCACAGAGCCCCCGCTCTTGCTCTTGCTCTGGCTCCCCTCCCCTGCAGCTTCACTTCTTCTCTGATAGCCTTCCCCAGTCTTTTCTAGCTGCCGCCGCCGCCTCTCCTTTCTCGACTCCTGCAGCTTGCTCGAATACCTCCGGGCAAATCCACAAACCCACCCCCTTTTTTAAAAAAGAGGATCTCCACCCCACCCCCCGCCTGCAAGGTGGATATGTTGCACTAGCAGAGGGGTGTGTTGCACTTGCGTGCATGCATATGAGCGTGACATGCCCCCCATGAGTGTGACATGCTTACCCAAAAGTGCAGGAGTGCCCCCATGCACGCCCACCCCCCCAACTGGTCCGCAGTTCCAAAAAGTTTGAGGACCGCTGGTGCTCCTTTCCATTTGCAAAGTGACACCAAGAAAGGGGGAAACTTCCAGGAACTGACTCCTTTTCCCATCAATTAACCACTTCTCAACCAAACACAAAGCAATTGTCATGGCTGGTTTGTTTGTTTTTTTGTTTGGTTGGTTGGGTTTTTTTGACAAGTATGCATGCCCTTTGGTATTTAAGACTTGGCAATCTTTTTCCTGCTGGCAATGGGAGCATGATATTGTGCAGCAATATCAGGCCATTTCCTGGTGTTCTGAATCATGGATGCAGAAGCACAATACTTCTCATCCATAAACCGAAAGTTGTTTGAATAGATTTATAGGATAAATAAAATGCAAAAAGACCCTCAGTCCCACTGAAGGCTATGAAAACTGAAAAGCATGGCTGTCGCACCTTTGAAAACATAAGAGTGCCACTGCCCTAGCACTGATGGGAAACAGAAGTCTCCTGTAAGTCAGATGGCAGATTAACCGGGGGGGGGGGAGGCAGGGGGAATTATCACTCCTTATTTGAGCATAGCTGAATATTGATTTTAGATGAAACACTAGGTATAAAGTCAATAGAAGCCATATTGAACTGAAGTTACCAGAAGGGGCAGTTGACTATTGCAGCAAAAAGTAACAAAGTCCTGTGTCATTTTAATGACTAACTGATTAGCAAAGCTTTCATGCAGCACAGCCCATTATCTAGTGGCTGGTGGACACATTGATCCCTCAGGGGCAAAGACAGTTAAACATTAGAAGGTCTTTTGATCAGGAAACAATACTGGGATTGTCATCCTGGTGGGTGAAGTCCACAATTCCACAGTGAACACAATGACCTGTGGATGACCCGAGGGAGTTTAAAAAAAGAAAGAGGGCGTGATTCAGTCACCCTGGAAATGGAATTCCTATTTGCATAGACAACAGTTACTATCCTGGGATGTAGTTTTCGAAGACATAGATGTGCCAGCATGTCAGATCAAAACAAAACAAAACAAACAAACAAAATAAAGAAGACAAAAACATTGCGGCATCTTAAAGACTAATAGTTATATTTTAACATGAGCTTTTTTGGATAAGTCCACCTCTTCAGACTTCCTGGGATGAAAAGCTCCACATCTGGACTTGGATAAGCAAACTGGGGTGTTGAATGATTTCTTCTTGAAATTACTGCCAAAAGGCTATACATCTGCATCTCAATGTAGTCGCTCATAAACAAAAAAGTGTACAAAAAAAAACCCTTTACTTTGTACCGACATGATCAACAACCCTTCCTGGAGTGGAAAGGGAATGTATCTTCTTGCCAATTTAGGGACCAGTCAGCACAAAAGGAATGAAAAGATGAAAAACCAGAGTGTCTTCTGGAAACATAAATACCTGCTTCAGAGATGGCAGGTGTCCATAGAGTCCCATTGCTTCCAAGGCAGGCTCAAAAGAATAGCTGGAAGCTGCTTTTGAGCCTATTGCTGAGACAAGGAGTCCAGTATCTACCTATCCCAATGCACCAGACTGAAAACAATGGGAATAAGGTCAACCAATCCCAGTACAAATCCTACCTTCCCTGTTGAAGACAGCTATGCACAGACTCCCCACTTTACTCACCCATCTTTGGCAAGATGATGTCGAAAGAAATCATTGGCAGCTAGCTTGATGGCTTTTTCTGGAGTCACTAGGGTTAGATTCACTGCAGCCCCTGAGAGAGACACATAGAGAGGAGGCCATTAAAAGCAGTAGGGACATAACAGGTTTTAAATTGCATACCCACAGCGGCATTCAGCCTTACTAATGACACTGTAGAGTCATGAATGAGAATCAAAGATCAACAAGCTCAAGTCAAGAAAATAATCCAGACACTTTGGTTTGCAAGATTTGTACCTGGCTGTTAGTGACAGGACCTTTTGGAGGTCTCTAATTCACAGGGTTGGCCCTATAACAACAATAGAGCAATACTCATGCCATCGTGTTGGATGCATTTTCAACCAAACCAACGGAGGTGACTAAATGCATTGGTGTCATCTCCCCTACCCACTTGTGGCATAGATGTGACACACAGAGGAGTCCACTAGCACATCACTGAGAATTCAGATGGACCCGGTTAAGATTGAAAAAAGGTAAATGCAGTCTTGTTCCCGACAGTGATAGTGTGGGGGTGGAAAGATGATGTTTTTCCTCTTTAACAGGCACAGCTAGTCCGGTACAAAGAGCAGGTGCTGGATCAGTTGCAGAGGCACATACTGGTCCTTACACTGACGTAGGCAATTTGGAACCCTCCAGAGTCTTGGGACAACATCTCCCATAATCCCTAACCACTGGTCATTAGTACAGTAGTCCATACCACCTGTATAACTCCAGGCTGCCAATGCCTGAAATAAAGCACACCCACAAGGTCAGACTGATACACATAATCAAGTTACAGCAGTAGGATTTAAGGCCCTACATGTCTTTTCAGAAAGCACATCCCAGCCCTGAATCTTTTTGAAAGCCAGAGCAGGGTAAACAACCTGTTACCTGCCCTCTACAGACTACTTCTCCCATCATCATACTTCACTACTCGCCAATCTGGAGGAGAGCTCATGGGAACAGGAAACTAACAACATCTGGAGGCTACTGATTTCCCAGCCATAGTTTAACATAGCAATATAAATCCTACTTATCTCATCCTTGCATATGAGGATGAGAAATCACAAATTTTCCTTGTCAACTGAAGCAGGCAAGGTATTTTTGGAGCTATCATTGAGAGTTCTTTTTTAATTAGAACTATTTATACACAAATTATGTAACTTACATCATAGCCAAAATCCTATTTGCACAGTTACACTAGTGCAATGCTAACAACATCACTTGTGAAAGTGAATTGTCTCAACTCATAAAATCACAGTATACATATCTGGTGTGCACTGAGTCGCAAGGCTCAGTATCCAACAGATAATATCTGTGATGGTTTCTGAATCTCGAGCAATTTGCCTCCAAAAGTTCATCATGCCACTGTAACTATGCAAGAGGATTTTGGCCAATTTGTGAAAACAGGACAAAACTATGATGGCCATGCCTTCCTATGTGGACATTTCAAAACAAAACCTATCTGGTTTGTGGCATCTTTTTGAACAATCAATCAGCCCTCCTTTGTTTGTGCTGTGTGTCTGCACTTGTGCACTGCTTCTGAAAGGAAACAAACACTATCTCTGAGCAAAAACATTTTATTCAAAGTGCAGAAAAAGAGCTCTTGATCTTGTTCTCATATAGGTGAGATCTCTCATACATGCTGGAAATTACTTGAAATGTCTTACCAGAACAGGATACCTTAAACAGGTGAGAATAAGGAATTTAACAAGTATTTTTCACATCAGACCTAGGTATGTACCATACAGCAAAACCGAGGTCTGTGGTTCAACTGAAGCTCGTATATCAGTCTTTTGTGAAAAGAAAAGAAAAATCCATCACAAAACCAAGGCAGGATGAAGGCTGTGAATACTTCACAAGAGGCATAGCTGACGTGAATTCTCCTCCACCAGCAACGGCTCCCACTTTGATTTATTCAAATTACAAAACCAATTACATGTGTCTAACGTGCTAAAAGGGTTTGTTCTTTCTTTTATTATATACTTTATGGGGTCACCTAAAGTCATCAAACAATAATCAGGAGCTCTTCCACCCTGGTTCAGAACTAAGTGCTGGAAAACGTGGATTGAATCACATTTCAGGCATGGACTTGTTACAGAGCCTCAGGCCAGCTAACGCCTGTCACTGTCATCTCTATTCCCTGCCTTCACTGGTGGGAGTAATATTAGTTCACTAAAGTCTGAAGAACTGGATTATAATATGTTGAGAAAACTGCAGTCTTGTATGCCTTGACACATAGTATCGGGGGGGGCAGTGTGTGCCCTACAGTTTTTACCACTTTACACTAATTCAATTGGTAAAGCTTCTTCTATCACTGTCACTGGATCAGCCCCTTCTTCTTCTTGTTTGTTTTCCAATTCCTTTGTTGCTGTTTGTCTTGTCTTCCCCAACCACCTTTCAAGAAGCAAGTACAGAATCTTTCCCTCTGCCATATTGGAACGGGGGAAGCAACCTTCCCCAAAAGCAAAAACAAGAGACAAATACATAGGGGCACCTTAAAGACTAATTGCTATATTTTCATGTGGGCTTTCATGGATCAAGTCCACTTCCTCAGACATTAGAGTGAGACTCTATGACTGCCATATTTATAAATGACCCCATGACTAGGATACAGATAATGGACAAAGTGAAAATAGTTTCTTAGTAGCAGAATAGGCTATTGTGGGGATTCCTTCTCATTATACCCTTAAGGTAACTTATGCTAGGATTTAGGAATTACGGATAGCAAATGTTCTCCACAGTATCGGATTGTGAACCATGACAATCATCAGTTGACAAGATAACAGTAACATAGTTGACACAAATGGCAGATTGTGGGAATCCATATAGGATTTCACACTTTGTAATGGTATCCAGTCTTTTTAAGGTGATTTGTAGCATCTGTCTGTACTTAAAATCTCAGCTGCTTCTCTTTTAAGTCTCATTTTATAGTCTTCTTCTTCTTCTTCTTTCAAGACAGTAACCTTCAAGTCATTCAAAAGCATCCAGGTAGACTGAAATGTTCTGGAACAGGTTTTTGTGTTCTGCCACTCCTGATGTTGGATTTATGTCCATTAATTCTTTTGCACATAAACTTCCTGTCTGTCCTATGTGGAGTGCAGAGGGGCATTGCTGGCAAAGGAGGGTGTTAGATCACATTAGCAGAGGAACTAGTAAACAAGCCCCTGATGTTGTGTGTGATTATTGCTGAAAGAATAGACTGGGACAAAGCTGGCCTTTGGGTTTGTAGCATGGTTTAGTCTTCATCTGTGTGTCAGTGCTGTTAAATTCATTTTATGTCAATAGCTGCTTGAGATTAGGGGGGCTGGTTGTAAGCAAGTACAGGCCGCCCACCAAGGGCCTGGGAGAATGAAATATTTTTGTCAAGGATGAGTTGAAAATCATATATGATGCATGCGAATGGTCTCAGTTGTGAGCTGAAGGTGACAACTAGTGGTGTTTGTATTGTTTTCTCTTCTGGGTCTGTCTTATAGTAGGTTGCTTCTGGGTATTCGTCTTGCCTAATTAATTTGTTCTTTAACAATACTGAATGGATTTTGGGTGAAAAAAAACACTACAAAATGAGAAGTAGCTGAGATAAGTTATATATGGACAGAGTTCCCCTTAAAAGGACTGATGATCAATCAAGAGCTCTTAAACCATTACCAAAATGTGAAATGCTACATGGATTTCCAGTTTACCACTTGTGTCAACTACGCTATTGTTATCTTGCACAATGATAACTGACATGATCCAAAGCCTGATACAGTACTCTGATTTGGTACTAATGAACAACTGCCACCATGACCATACTTTGTATCACCACAAACATTCACATAAAAATATACAGTTAGTCTCTACAGTGCTGCAATGTTTTTTTTTCTCTCTCTCTCTGTTTATTTCAATTTTGTTAAGTGTGTCAATGCTATTATTGCATAGACCAACACAGCTACCTCTTTGAAAACTTTCTTCATGCTAAAAACTCTATTTTTGTCCATTTTCCTCTAATTGTAACTACAGGTGGTAACTATAAATAAATTTCACTTCTGTTGTCTTCAGATGCAGCTGAAGATATAACTTTTTACTACAAAAATTAGACTGGGCTAAATCTCTTGTACTTTTGCCTTTCTGCTTTGCAATCTGCTGAGAAAAGAAATAACCAGATTTTTAGTATAAACACTTTTTAAAACTGCAATATAATCCACAAAAGCTCGCACAGAAACAATCCGTTATGATTAGAGGTGCTACAAGCCTTTTGTTTTTGCCCACTCTACAGGGTTGTTGTAAGGACTGCCGAAATGATGTCTTGCAAAGTGCTTCAATAAATATTTCTTTTCCTCAGCAAAAAAACCAGGATGAACCCTTAAGCAGCTCAATGGAGGAGCTACGTTTTCTCCGCAGAGCAAGTTAACTTTATTTTGGTCTCAGACCAGTATGTTTTGAATGAAGTCTGGCTTAATGCAGTTCAGTCCTTCCCCTCTGCTTTGCACAGGGCCTCAATTTAAACAGAGTAAGAGCACACACGGCTCTGTCCTGTGGCATGTAAACACCACTTGACAGCGTGCACGGGGAATGTGAGTGCTCTGTTATAAAAAAACATCTAGCAGCAAATCCCTCTGCTGTAGAAAGCACAATGAACTAGCTGTGCATTGCTCTGGATAACAAAAGAAAACACAACATTAGTAACACAAGGGTGACCACCACCATTGAGGTCTCTAAGAGAAGGGAGCCCAGCATTTGCCAATATAGCCTTTTCTCACCTTTTTTAAAATGATGGCCACTGTGGTCTAAGTACACCATAAAGACATGGTTTACTTAGAATCACAAGGAGACATCAAACCTTGGTCCACTTGACTCTGATAAGACTTTGTTTCTAAATAAGAGATGCAGGGCCAGACTAAAAATGGAAAAAAGGGGGAGAGAGAGAGTTACTTTCCAAAAGTAATGTAGTGAATGGAAATGAATGGCTACTGGACTTGTACTCTTTTTCAAAAATGTTTTTTAAAATAGGATATCAGTAAATCGCTAGTAGCCATCACTGTCATCACTAACACTGCTCAACAAACTTGTGGGTGAAAGAGAACTTTAAAGGCA